TGCTGTTCGAGTTCTATCGATTCAGTGACCAATAAATACGTTTAGCAGGCCCACCTTGAAGTCAATCGTGGTCCGAATGACTATGTAGAAACGACTGTGTTTACACCACTCGGTGGAGCAAGTTAAAGCCTCGCAGAGGACATCAATTCCCTACAAGCTGTCTGTCGTTACGCCACTGTGATATACCTCTAGTTTTGTCTGATGTTTGCTTATAACCTTAAAATAACTTTATCACTGCTGTTTTTGCACCATTGCTAGTTTTAATTTCCCATTACTTTTGAATGCTGAACTGTCATTGGTTGTTAACTCTTTTAACTTACCAGTGAATTTGGTGCTTGTCAGAGTGTTTTTGAACGTATATACTCAGGATCGCTCTCAACTGTTTTTTACTGTGGTTGATACAGTAAAAGTTCTCTGCTAATGGTCCGTCTTCTTTTCTTGTCATTGTGTGTCAGCGATATTGTTGTGGTGGTAATTAATTAGCGATTAGAGCATATTCTTTTGCACGTTAGGTTCATATAGCTCGTAGACCGCTAGATCGCATTGCCAGTCATAGCAAACTGGCGACGGTTGTATTTTGAAATGTACCTATCACTCTTGGAGAAACTGATGGAGCAGTAGCTTAGAATGATAGACTTGACTGCTGCCTTACAGATATTTTTCCCAACCAGCTCATCTCCAGCCAATGACAACACCGGAGCAGTATATCATAATTAGCCTGTGACCTAGTCGCATAAATAACCTTCTATACATAGTTTGGCAGATACGTAGACTTGTTCAAAGAAGACTGCACAAACACAGATGGTGCGTGGAAGGTCAGATTACTGCTTCGAAAGTTGGGAGCAGACGAATTGGATAAATATTGCAATCTGATCTTGCCACAGAAACCTAGTGACAGAACATTTGATAAGAGTATGCAGACAATTCGTCATCAGTTTGGTGACCACAAGTCATTGTTTAACATACGTTACCATTTCATGAAGTTGATGCTGAAAGAAAATGATGATATTCACGCACAGTTAGGTATAGTCAACTTCATCTATGAACGTTTCAAGTTGAAATTCCTGATAGAAGATCAGTTCAAAGTTTTAATCTTCATTTGTGAGCTACAGTTCCAAAAGTTTGTTGATATACGCACACGCCTGTTGAATAGATTACAACAGGTACCATAAATGACTTTGAAAGATAGTGAAGAATAATGTCAGCAATTGACCATCTTGATCCAGTCTGGCGGTCAGAGTGCAGAAGAAGTACATGGAGTGCATCTTGTACCGTCAATGTCAAACTCATCGCCTCAGAAACCACACACAGCATGTCGGCACTGCTGCGCTTAGCACTATGTGAAATCATGCCAGTTCAAACACCATAAATGCCGATGAGACCATATCACTGGACACAAAGATGGTTACAGTAAATAGAATAACCAACCCAAGTCTAGAAACTAATCTCATCAATGTCCTATGCCAAAATCTATGAGTATTACAGTCACCTATAACATCAGCACTCGTACACTACATAAATACATTGATATAATGATCAACTCTGAGCCTGCACGCCTTCAAGTATACACTTATCAGACATAATAATAATATCCAAGAACCTATGACAGAAGTTAAGAAAACCCACCATACGGAATACAAATCAAATTGCGGTGAGAGCATGTGGAGGAAAACTTCGAATAAGTGGGCAATTAAAGTGTAATATCGGTTTCCGTGAGACCCAGTTCATTGGTTCATGCTATGTAAATAATTCAAACCTAGATTTTTTTGGGTTGAACTGGTTTGAAGAATTACGGCTCACGGAGATCCCCTTAAACAATGTATGTAATAGGGTCGAATCTATAGAGTCCTCAACATTACTGCACGAATTTAAGATGCTATTCCAGCCTAGATTGGGGCATTGTAATACCATAAAAACGGTCCTACGATTGCAACCAGCACCACACGAGTTTTTCGTCCCAAAAAACCTGTTCCCACGCCTCACACTAGATTTTGGAAGCTGAGCTAAAACGATTAGAAGAAGCTGGGGTTACAACGCCAGTAACCTATTCGTCATGGGCGGCTGCTATCATGGTTACTACAGAAATAAAAAATGGTTCCATCCATATTTGCGCCGATTTCTCGACGGATTTGAATGCAACTCTAGAACAGCATCGTTATCTGCTGCCGGTTCCAGATGATTTGTTTAGCACCTGAATGACAGAAAAATCGGCGCAAAGATTGATTTGGCTGATGCATACCTGTTGGTTAGAGAATCGGATGAGTGCCACGAGCTGTTGACGATAAGCAAACGATGAGGGTTATTTCAATACAACAGGTTACCCTTAAAATTAAGACTATCCCTGTCGTATTCCGGCTGTTAGTGAATACGTTCCTAGCTGACATTCCCGGAGTTGCTACTTATCTTGACGAAGTACTGACAGAAGCAGTCTCCCCAGAAGAGTTAACAGAGAGAATACGGCTTGTACTCCAGAAGATCGCTGTCAACCGACTGTGGCTAAGAGCAGAGAAGTATCAACTTTTCTTACAGTTAGCAAAGTATATGGGTTTGATCTTTGATGCGACTGGACGATGACGTAGCACCGAGAACATAAAGGGCATTCAACACATCCTGGTCCCGAAAGATGTGACGACGTTTCGATCTTTTTTGGGAAAGATTAGCTACTACTCAGCCTTTTTGCGATAACTGCATATCTGCGAACCATTCGACCATCTGTTACATAATGGTCATCCGTGAGTCTTGTCCAAAGAGTGTGATGAAGCCATCCAACAATTAAAGAGTAGCCTTGGTTCTGAATTGTTACTCACACATCACGATCCAAAACTACCCACTGTTGTCACAGCAACTGCTTTAGCTACAGGAGTCGGGGTCGTTCTATGGCATGAATTTCCTATCGCGACGCAAAAGGCTGTTATCCATATCTAATGTTCCCTATCTGCAGCCAAAAACGATAAGCACAGAAAGAAAAGAGGCTCTCGAAGATTTCGTATGATGATATATGGTGGGTGGTGGTCTTACTGGGGTACGATTCTGACATCAGTAATCGCCGAACAGAATATTTCCGCCACACAGATGTTCTCTCATGCTTAATAAACGACTACTCCTCGTCCAACGAGGAAACAGTTATTGCGGCTGTGAAAACAGAAAGGTGTGTTCAGAATTTGTTGACATGTGCCATCGAGCAGTTTCCCATTGTGGCAGGGCAAATAAAATAGACCACAAAATGAGATGAAACTTTACAACAAACTATGAGATCCGTCCAAAATTCTCGGTCAGCACAAGTGTCAAATCATGACCTGAAGCAATTACGCCGCCACTGCCATGGTTTCGGCATCTTTATTGAGTGCCTAATGTTCAGAGAACGAGCGGTTATACTGGAGACGTTGAGAAAGAAAGCCGTGAAACAGTTCTATAGCGGACACCCAGTATTGCGCGCATGAGGTCTATTGCCAGAAGTCATGCATACTAGCCAAGTATGGATGCTGATATAACGGAATTCATTAACAGATATCACTTAATTCTACCTGCTGCCAAAATCCTTCCCGAGAGCATCCGAAAGGGTGGCATGAATCAAAACCATGGTCTAAACTATACATACATTTCGCTGCACCAGTAGATGGTGTGAATTACTTGATTCTTGTGGACGCCTATTCAAAGTGGCCTGAGATAGTTTCAATTAATACACCCTCCAGCTGCTTTCGCTAAAATTCCCCATGCCATGCCATTTCTAAATCCATTGTATCTGACAGCAGCAGTTAAAATACGTTGCAAGTATTTAAAGATTTCCGTCAAAGAACAACACGTGCGGACGCCACTGTACTACCTTCGGTTCAACAGCCAGGTAGAAAGATTTGTGGACACCAGAAGAGATATATGGAAGGTGAAGGAGAGAGACTAAAACGGAAGTCCCAGAGCATTTGCTTTTTGTATATCACACAATGCCAATGGTAGAGCAGAGAAAAAGGTTAGCTGAGCGTTAAGTCGAATGGATGCTACGTACCCATTATCATTCCATGTTGCCATCAACACCAATTCAACGGGAAAATATTGTGGAGTAATTTAACAAGAGAGACACAATCTACGCTTGTGATTATTGACTAGGAAAAGGCAAATGGGCGGAAGGTCTGATGGAAGGCCAACGTGAAACTCTGATGTACGAGGTTAAGTGGGGTAAAAAGGTTGGTTGAGACATAAAAATCAGATAAGACGTCGTTACCATAACACATCCTCAGACATTGACATACACATACTATTAGAATGTAGAAAGTATTCTCTCGCTTATTCATCAGACAATTCTTCCTGATAGCTAAGGTATTAAAAAATTGAATTAATTTGACAAATAATGGCTTAATGTCCTTAAAGCAACCGTCAAATGGTCAGATAAACATCTGAATCCTTACTGGATGGGTTCATCAATACACCAAAAGTACTGAGTAGTTTGTAATGGTATCGTGTGTACACATACGCACTTGTATACCAAATCAACCTATCACCAATATGCAGACTACCCAGTCTTGACAACATTTAATGACGTCAGATAATAATAGATACATATTACAATGCTAACTCAGAGGATTTTCATTTAATGGTTGAGATATGCCTTTTATATGATATATAGACTTCAATACTGAAAGAAATCAATGAGAAAAGGCTTTCCAATTCTCATGTGACAAGTAACTGGATTTCTTGATTACAGTCAAAGATAGAGCTGGGAATGCTACACTGATATCAATCAAAAAACTATATAAATTATTAAATTGTAAAACAATTGTATTTGGATGAAACAAGAACACATTCATTCTATCTTTTAAGGACTTACATAATTATAGACATAAAAAATGATAAGATTTTTGTGTTCTTTTCTGGTTGTAGTTTTTTTTTGCTGTTGAAAAATATGGATAATTGAGTAAATAAAAATTGACATTTGTTTAAGTTAACACCTTTTTGATTAGTAATCATTTATGTATGCAACAGTAAACTGATCAATATTGTCAATATATTCAATGAAATAACTGAAATAGTATTATTTCCAATTTTAGATATGTCTTATCAATATAGAGAATATACTTTGCATTAACTGCATATGTCGGCTCTATTGTATCCACATATTTTTCATTCACATAGACAATACCCTGAAATGAAGTTAATGGATAATAAATTTCCAATTCATTCTGGAATAGAGCCTTCGATTAATACAATGCTTAAAAAAAATAATCATCTGACTGGATAGCAACAATGAGTGTTTTCCCCCATCTGTATACGCATATCCATCGTTGATAGGTGATAAGAGTACACTCTATAATCCAAAACACTGTAATGCATCATATGAAGGAGTATTTTTTCCCTCGCACATATGAGTTAACACTTGTGTATAAAGACTGTCTAAAAACATCATGATTATTTTCATCCTTTGTAGATGGCTAGATAATTTCAATACATTAATCTATTTCAAGTTGTTATTCATGACATTAGATGGCAGTTGCGCTATATCGTGAGCTAACAGAAGTTGGAAATACGGACCATTGGATTCCACCGACTCACTGGCTCAATGGCGACGTGTTGGCCTCGGAATCTGAAAGTCGCAAGTTAGATCCCTGGCGCAGTCGTGGGTGGACACTGCCCAGAAGTCCCATACTAGGACAAAACAGCTGCTATCCAGTACTCCCAGGTTTCCTTTGTTCCTCCAACTGATATCAGTCTACGATGAATAACAACTTGAAATATTTCCGAATCCCCATAACTCCCTCAAAACATTAATCTATGTCACCCTCAAATAGTCAACTGATGAAATAACTTGTTTCTTAAGTGTCTAAGAACATACTGGTTGTCAAAGTTATGGAATCGTTTCTATGTTACAGTAATCAAGGTAAGTGATAATGGCATGCAATCAGGTCATACGGTACTCAAGTAGGTCATTATCGAATGCCCTAGAAGAAGCTTTTTCAAAACACATCTCAATCTTTTCTTCATAGTAAACAATAGAAGAAAGTCGTTGGATGCTGTCACTCAAGATGCGAACAAACTGGTTTTGCCACTCATGCTGACAATAAAGGGGTAAGTAAGTGGGCAAATCCGAGAAGCAGACGCGGCAAAGAAAAAGCTGGATGAAATAATGTGAACATAGGGGAAATAACGGGGCTTTTCGGGGTTTCCTTTTAATCTCTCCTGTATGTTCAATTGGGGGATTACCTACTTCAATGGGCGCAAATCAGCTGAGTCAAACTATTTCAGAAGGTGCAGCCAAGTGGAAGCCATTTAAAGATAGATTTATACGCCTGGAGCATAAATTTAAGGTGAACTCGAGTGTGCCTTCATGCCATCATTCTGTTTTTTCAAAGACGATATATCATCTTTTACAATATAGTTTCCGCATTCTTCAAAGAAGCCTGAATTCCCTGGAGTCTTCCGTAACCAATAAACTTATCCCGGAATTTTTAGGAAAGGCACGTGATCATAAGTGTAGATAATAAACTGGTTGTGAAATTTTCCAGGGGATTTTGGACATTTCTGATAGGTCTGGGATGCAATGCTTCACTCCTTTAACATCTACATACAGGTAGAATCACAAGACAGCATTACCTTTAGAAACTTTATCAGTGAATTCAAGCTGTTTTCCTATCTAACAGAGATTTTTACTGCATAACTCAATACAAATTGAAAGAAATTACGTTTTGAACACTTCCTCTAGATCAGTTATCTTAAAAGCCTGTGAACAGGAGAAATTACGGAATTTCGCAGTCCTTGAACAACTTTTAAATGGCCATGAAGTAGCCAATCACGTTAGAGATGACTACCCAGTCTTTTTGAAAAGCGTTGAAATCATGTCATATATTATTATAGATAGGCTTATGAAGAAATATGACGGTGGTAAGTGTGACGGAATCGAAGACGATTGTTTCGCATATGATACTCTCGCAATATTTTCTGGTTCTGTGAGGTTTTCCACCTACCTGGATTTTCCTATAAAGGCAAAACTACGAACAAGAAGCTTTAATTTTAGATTCATCACGCTGAAATCCCGTCCCAACTATTATTCCAATTCCCCAAAACCTTACTGCTTAGTTCTAAGTAAATCTGCGGTACTCATCAAGAGAACGAACAACAAGTAAATCTCATTTCTTAGCATCGGTAGTGTTTTATTTGCTGCTTTATGACTTCAATCTGAAATCTTGTACTTCAAAGTTATACGCCTATACTTAATATCCAACTATGAGATCCCTATGTCTAGTTCTGGTTCTAGAAACTTCTATAGGGATCTATAAAAAATAATATATGAGTAATGGGAAGCCTCATCAAGGTTTGTTTACGCCTATATAACAGTTTATATGATTTCACGTTATGTGGATGAATATCTTTGTCGTAAGTAATTAAACTTCAGACAATAAAAACTGTTCAAAAACCTGAATAAGTCTCAAACCCTTATCCTAATATCGCTTCATTTTTCCAGTTAAAAGTGATCCAGATAAAACTTTTTCTTATAGATGCTTTCAAGGTGATCTGAGAGGAACTCAAGGATGCTTATATCCTGAATTTTCATCCTCTATGGGTTTTACTGTATATCACTATTTCCTAGAGTCGAGGAAATGAGAAATAACAAAATCATACATCAAATTGTGGTCACTCATAAGGGGATATTTTGTAAAACCTCAAAGTTGTAAAGTTGTCAAAATATTAGTGAAATTTTGAAACCTTTTAAAACTATTGGCTGTTAAGGTTGAGAACTTGAGTACCATTTTTAGTTTATAGTCCAGTGAATAACGATCTGCAGCTTCAAGTGATAAGCGATGGATTCGAGTCCCAGTGAGAGCGACATCACTTAGTAGAATGCAAATAGGTCCAGCTGGCATGTCCTACATAAGACGAGATGTGTATCCACTATTCAATGTAAGCCGATATCCATCATGATTATCACTAACGAATTACACCATAAAAAACTGCATCAAACAATATATTTTAATTTTCCCTCGGGTTCCTAGTCAAACATAGGGCTTCATTAACACGTCTCCATTCCACTCTCTTCCCGTCAGTCTTTTCAACCTGGCACCACGACTGCCCACAACCTCTCATTTCTTCCTCACACAACCTCCCCCATGTCACCCTCGGATGCCCAACTCGTCGTTTCCCCTTCGGATCCATCTCGACGGCATACGCCTGGTGCGTGATATCGCCGAATAGTTTTCTAAGTGTATATGTCCAATCCATCTCCACTTCCTTCTACTGCATATTTGTTGCGTGATAGGTTCTTGCTCCTTCGGTTCGTTCCCAGACAGCCAGAGTTCCTCCTTGCTTATTCTTATTATTCTGGCTATCTGATCTTCAGTGTCGAGGGGGCGTAGACGGCAGCTGTTGATGAATGTCTGTAGTTTGTTGGAAATGCTTTTCATGACACACCAAGTCTCTCAACCATCACATAGAATCACTGACTTGAAATTGGTGTTGAAAATCTGGATCTTGTTCACGATTTGTGCTGAGTGGAGTGGAGTGGAATAGGTCTCCACACTGATTTCGGATTAATGAAGACCTATCTTGCTTTCCCGATTCTGGCTGCTCTCACGTCCCCATCGGTGCCACCTGTGCTTGAAACGATGCTGTCTTGCCTAACTAGGTGAAAGAGACTACTTCCTTTCAGTTTCTCCCACTGATGGTGATTGGAGCTCCTTGTTGTTGTTAGTGGTGGTGGTGGTGGTGTTGGTGTTGGTTTGGTATCTTCATCACCTCTCTCTTCTCTACATTCACCTGAAGTCCCGTTTTCACTACTCTGCCTCGCCTCTTCTTTCAACTTGTTGCATTTCGCCTGTAGATCCTCGAGTTTGTGCAACAAGGCATCAGACATAAATCATCATCGGTGGTGGAGTCCAAATCTTCTTCTGGGGTCTTCTCATTGGTCCAGACAGTGTATGTCCATCTTCTCCTTCCTCTCAGTTTGTTGCATGATGCAGTCCAGTCGACCACAATCAGGAAGATCATGGGTGATAGTAGGCGGCAGCCTCATCTTACTCCTATCCCCTGTCTTCACTTCGAAGGCGTCATTGAGCTTTCCACTGTGAATCACTTTGCATGTGGCATCTTCGTATGGCGGTTGAATGATGTTAATAAGGATTTGTGGTATTCCATAGTGCTGAAGCATCTGCCTGAAAGACTACTTCTCGGTCAACGCTGTTGAAAGCCTTTTCAAAGTCAATGAATTTGAGGTTGAGTTGAATTCCATTCTATACTCTATTCTATGATGATGTGTAGCGTAGCGTTGCAATTTGATCCGCACATGATTTGTTCTTCCTAAAGCCTGCCTGTTCCGGTCGTAATTTTGAATCCAGCATATCCTTTAGTCTCTCCAAGATGATGCGGCTTAATATTTTGCTTGCTGTGGGTGGACAGCAGTATGATTCCTCACCAGTTCTTGCAAAGTCTTAGGTCTCCCTTCTTTGAGAGTTTGACAAGGTAACCCTTCTTCTGATCAACTGGCAGGTACCTTCCCTTCCTTCCACACCTTCTGCAATAGTGTTGTGGTGTGAGCATGTCTGCTGTCGTCTCTGCGTCTGTTCTCAGTGCTTCTCGTGGAATTCCATCTGGTCCTGCTGCTTTCCCTCATTTCAGTAGCTTTACGGAATTCAGGAATTCTGCTTGTGTACGAGGACCTGTGTTCACTTGCAGTTCTGACGTTGCTGGTGGTATTTTGGGACGAGTTTCAGCTGGTGGTGGTGGTGGTCGATTCAAGAGCTTTTTGAAGTGGTCAGCCTGTCGTTTCCTTTCCTTCTTCTCTTTGACGTTAACTAGCTTTCCTTCACTATCTTTCATTGGGTTCATCTGTGCTGTGTTGATCTCTACACTCCAACATAATAACCTGGTCATTTGATATGGTGTTGTCAGGTCTTTATCTCCCCCACCTGCAGCCTGTTCTGCTTCACTTGCCAATGTGTCATAGAAGTGTCTGTCTTTTGTCTTTGTGCACACTCTTATTCACTTCTTTGTCCACTGTAGTGTTTTATACATTGTACTCAGGTCCTCTTTTCGTTGTTCATCCCTGCACTGCACTGCACTCGTTCATCTTCTGCTTCACCATCTTCCTCTCACTCCTCTGTCAGCTTCCATATGTCCATCGAGACCCACTCCTTGTCGTGTTTCTTCTTCTTCCTTCCTGGTACGGTTATGCAGGTTTCTTTCCACATCTCTTTCAAAGAGTTCCAGTGTTCATCCACACAGGTTTCTTCAGGGATGTTTCTCAATATCTCCCATTTTGTTCTGATGACTGACTGACGTGAAGATGTCCTCTGTAGTTTCGTCCTCCAGTTTAGTTTCTGTTCTGGGTGTTGAACTTCAACTGTGGTCTATCATCACCAGCTTCTTTGAAAGCTTTCAACTTGATTATGAAGGTAGCTTTGTTGCACTAGATAGTGAAGTGAGTGGTGTGAACCTGCATCTGCTCCCCTTCTAGATCTGATCTTGTGTCCAGTAAGCTGTGTCTCCACATCCTTCACATTGAGATGAAGTCGATCTGATTTTTAGTGAAGTGTGTCCATCTGGTGAAATCTATGTCAGTGCCTTGTGAATATCCTTATGTTTGTTTGTCCCATACCATGACGAAACAGTTGTTCAGGGCTCCCAGGTTTCCAATGTGCCTTCGACTGGTGTCAATCCATGATGAATACCAACTTGAAAAGTATATTTTTCATTCCATTTTAGTATGTTTATTAGAAATATCACATAGTGAAGCAGTAACATTTACTGTGTGATATTTCTAATAAACATACTAAAATGGAATTACACTCGACCACAGTGTTCAAGTTTTACACTTAGACATTTTTCATTAATTTCCATTTATCATTGTCAAACTCACCATAAAAAATGCATCATATTCAATGAACATATCAAGTAATCGATCTTCATCTTCGATAAAGATAGTTGCTACATAAATGATACCCGGTGTATTCATTTTTGTCACGTTGAATAACCCAGAGCTATGGGGAATATAAAGAAATACAAGTGAATCATATGAGGAAATCGTTTTTAAATAAGAGCTGCACTGATTATGTGAAACACTAAAAGTTTTTATTCCACTTTGTATCTTTATCACTCAATGTTTCCCACATATTGTACTAATCATGACTTCTTTTAAGTGTTTCAGTGTTAAATTTTGTTGTGTTTTGAAATCCTCATGTTTTAGTCTCAAATACTTACTGATTCAGCTGTGAATGTTACATCCTTGAGTGAAGACTTTAGAACTAATTTGAACTACAAAGTTTATTTAAGTCAGCATAAATTGCATTCAAGTCAGTCACAGCTGAAGTAGCCCTAGTAGTAATATATCTGACTGGAACGCTGTCTGTGAAAGATCATCAGTCTCCTCAAGGATACACAGGTACCCTATGCTGACATGTATCAATGTCGACAGCATCCTGGATACAACCATCATACTTAAATATTATCGCTTAAAATATATTACTGAACAACCTGAGCTATTAAACACCACGCATTCTGACTGATCTGTAGATTTCTCCAGCTAGCCAGACCACAGTGATCCGAACAACAGACGGTCGTTTTGTCCGTCTCTGGTCGGCCGGTTGATCAACGATGTACCCGAAGAAATTCACCTTATACAGCTGAATCAGTCCACATCACTTGAATCTTGCTGGCTAGTTGACGTGCATAGACTGGCATAACATACCTTCAATAGAATGATCGGTTTGTAAATGATTTACAAATTCAGACCCAGGTGGTTGAACTAATTTGCCTCTATAAGTTGAGTTCATCCAAGCACACTGCTGGTGAGCCCCGTCTCGAAAGAACGAAACAGACATTCAATGTTTAGATCACACTGATCTGGCTGGCTGGCTAAATCCACAGATCAGCCTGAGTGTTTTCTAACTACTGAAGTTGTTCAATAGCTTATGCCACTTTTCTGTTACAGATTACATCTTGTGATCTTGACTAGCTGATGGTTTCTAACAGAAACCTTGGTGACGCCACCAGGGTTGGATAGCAGTTGAAAAAACCACTAAGCTGTGAGTGAGAAATATCAACATGGACTTCATCCTGTTTTGTCAGTTTGTTTTAAATACTCTAACAACAGAAATATGCAAAGTGAATGTTTGTTGAAGATGTATGATATGTGATCTGCAACTTTGATTTTGGCTAACTAAAGTTTTCAATAAAATAACCCTGTCAGTATTCAACCAAGAAAAAGCCTCTTACCTTATATCTGATGCATCAACATATAGTTGTTTTAAGGGTTCATTCGATCAGTTGAGTAATTCTTGGTCATTTAATAAGACGGAACCTAGACCCTGAAAAGTATACATGTATGTGTCAGAGAGGCGCAATACTGGTTCGCGATAAGACTTTATAAAATTGGGATGAAAATCATTTTCAAACAGCTTCTGGAGAAGTTAATCGGCAAATATGTGAATATCGTGTGTAGTTAAGAAACACTGAAATGTAAAGATATGTTAAGTTTTCGTTTTATTAGATAAATTGTGCTGTTTTCAGAGTTGAAGCATGAATCACAATATCCGCACTTAGGGTACGCAAGATCAAGTACTTGAGAATAACACAGTGAGATGCATCGTAATAAGAACATTTAAGACAGTCCGTTTAAACAGTTCCCACGATCTAAAATCACTGTATTAAATACCTAAATTTACAGTAGCATAGACTTAGTTGTACTTAAATGTCAACCAATAGGATTATGTGGAGCAGCCATAGCCAATAAGAATGTCGTTACACAAACAAGCATAATTCATGCATAGATTACGTGTCTGTCTGTACAGTCCCAACTCATACCATTGGATGAATATATCTGCATATTTATTGAGCCCTTATCTTTCAACCAGAATTAGAATCCTTCACTTTGAATACTATTTGAGTAACTGAATTACAACAGCTAAAGTTTAAAGAACAGTTTTTTTTGTACAAGTTATATCATACTGCATTACATTCAACAAGATAAAAATAATGGTGCTTTAAGGGCCATAAAGAGTGTCTAATTGTTATAGTGTGCAATAAAATTACTCATATCCCTGAAGTGCTTCATAGCCAATCATTATTCTCGAAAGTTTCCAGAAAAGACACGATCATTCCTGTAGATATTATTCTGGTGGAAGAGGCAAAATCAATAGACAATGCCCTTCTGGAAACGTTTGGAAATAGTCAGGGCCATTGTAAATTGACGGTGCAGTACGTCTTCTGTCGTCTTATCGCCTTATCTTTTCTTTCAGGGAATCGAAAGGTTATTGTTCAAATATTGGCACACAAACTTCAGGCTACATAACTTATTCAGTTTAGTGGATTGTAAAAGATCACACAATGTGGCTTGGTGAAAGCCATATTTTTTCGGCTTGTTTCTTAATACAAGAAACTCTTATTCAATGTGAACTGATTGTCATATGCCTAACAGGTTATTCAATAAACAGTCAATGTGTATCACTTCTATTGTTAACTAATACTGCTGCAGTTATAAAGCCACAATGTAACTAATACACCTTCAAGACCCAGTGAAATTCACTACAGAAGACTAGTTCACGTCACTCATGCAGTAGGTAATAAGAGGCACCGAATGTGTGAAAGCTGCCCAAACCTTGGTAGGTGGGGCTGTGCTCGATCTTTTGAACCACCGGCTGAAAGTCAGCTACCTAAACCAGTGAGCCACAACTTATTCAAACCATTGACAGAAACCAGAAAAAGAATCAGAGGCAGCTTAATATTGCTCACTTTCGACTGCCGGACGAGACTGAATCTTGAAGCCATAAGTCTTGTGTTGCTTTGATTTCAATGCTTGCAACTTCCATCTGTCGAATACTGTTTGATTTCCATCTTTATTGAAAACCGTGAAATGGGAAGTAACCAGTAGGCATTTTTTAAAACTTGTTACTAATAACAGCAAAAAGAAAACAAATTACCAATTACACTTACTTCTAGGAGTTGGATAAAATCAGTATTACTGAGAACTTACTTTCACCTCCGAACGTCTGGTATAAAGTTGTTTACTATATCCTTTGTTCTGTAGTAAGATGAGCAGAGTTTGTGCCGGTGAATATGACAGCATATGATTTCTTTTGAAACTGTATATTCGTGAATATGTCCATGAAAAATCTGTAAGAAATATGAAAGTAGTGTTATAACCTTGCCTAGTTTTAATAGTAATCACCACTTGATTGTGGCAATTTAGTCTTAACGATGACCTTGTGTGTGATTGGTCTCCACTATAACTGACCAATCAGGAACAAACAATCCACTCACAATGAGCCATATAATTCTGCCCTTCGAAAAGCTTATTACAGAACACAAAGTCTTGTGCTTATTGACCGTATGTTTTTCAGGAGATTAGATTCATCTATATATAAGTTTCCTGACCACAACATAGCGTAATTTATAAAAATGGAATAACCGATTTCACATACTTATGGCTGAAGGAGGTGTCAATCGAAAGCTCTCTAACCGAATGAGCTGTCCAATAATTTTACCAATTAAGTCTCACCAGTAGGATGAGTTTGAAAATAAATAAAATAATACGATGGTTAACACAACTGAGATTCATGTTTTCTACTCTTCCGCTGATATAGCAAATGGTCTATAGATTGATACTTTGTTGATTAACTAGTTAATAAATCTTTATGTGTTAAATTTCAGTGAACATGAAGTCATATTTGAAGCAACCTTACCAATCTATCAACATCTTGAACACATGTACTCATTTCAGGCAGTTCACGACACAATTATGCAGACAGAGGCTGATAGGTGACTGACTGTCGAACATACCAGATATTTTTGAGAGTGAGTCGATAGAAGGCTCTGTTTCAGCGAGGTTTTGTCATTTTTGATGCTCGCCTGAAGGATGTACCTGAAGAAACCGGTATTCTGTCGTTAATGTGGACCGGCCTTATCTAGTAATGTCACGTGATAACTCCTGTCATGAGGATTTGCTTTTTGTCGATTTCTTAATTCACTCAACGCTTCACTAAAAGTCACGACTTGAAGAGGATAACGACAGAGCCTGACATCGATTAATGAGCAATTACTGACTGCCTGTTTGTCATTTTAGCTCAAGAATGTGATTAGTTGAATTAACTTGACTATGTCTTTGTATATAAGTGACCGCCTTATTGAATGAATATCCTTCATTCTGGTTTGTCTATCCGTATATTTTTGATGATAAGAATATGGTCCACCGGTTAGCAGTTCTGCATTTTAACTTCACTCATTTACGCCAAAAGATAAACACCGGACAACTGTAAAAACTCATTTTTATTATTTCGTGAACTAAATATCTAATTCTATTGCCCATCTTTGCATGTATTGAAATAAACGACTAGATTTCTCTACTTTAAATCAAGAGTGCCTTTCCAATCAAACAGGAAAAACGTGGCTCCTTAGTTCAGTAGTCACTAAGGTGACCATAAAGTCCCTCTAATTGTCTTAACCTTCAAGTACTAATCAAGCAAAAACTTTGGAATATCGCATAATCGTTTATACCATGTGTGACCTTCAAGGCCATCCTAATGAGAACTGAACTAACCAAAGGGGTTTGTTAATTTAAACTCAAAATGAGGATATATTTTTAAAAACAGAGGAACCTGATTAGTTATTCCAATGGTTGTTATGATAACCCTCAAAGCAAATCCTCTATTGGTCATAAAAGCCTACGGAACTTGAATAGATGCTGCAAGTAGGATAAAACCAATTATTATATTATTTGTCCCTCGGGTTCCTAGTCAAACATAGGGCTTCATTAACACGTCTCCATTCCACTCTCTTCCCGTCAGTCTTTTCAACCTGGCACCACGACTGCCCACAACCTCTCATTTCTTCCTCACACAACCTCCCCCATTTCACCCTCGGATGCCCAACTCGTCGTTTCCCCTTCGGATCCATCTCGACGGCATACGCCTGGTGCGTGATATCGCCGAATAGTTTTCTAAGTGTATATGTCCAATCCATCTCCACTTCCTTCTACTGCATATTTGTTGCGTGATAGGTTCTTGCTCCTTCGGTTCGTTCCCAGACAGCCAGAGTTCCTCCTTGCTTATTCTTATTATTCTGGCTATCTGATCTTCAGTGTCGAGGGGGCGTAGACGGCAGCTGTTGATGAATGTCTGTAGTTTGTTGGAAATGCTTTTCATGACACACCAAGTCTCTCAACCATCACATAGAATCACTGACTTGAAATTGGTGTTGAAAATCTGGATCTTGTTCACGATTTGTGCTGAGTGGAGTGGAGTGGAATAGGTCTCCACACTGATTTCGGATTAATGAAGACCTATCTTGCTTTCCCGATTCTGGCTGCTCTCACGTCCCCATCGGTGCCACCTGTGCTTGAAACGATGCTGTCTTGCCTAACTAGGTGAAAGAGACTACTTCCTTTCAGTTTCTCCCACTGATGGTGATTGGAGCTCCTTGTTGTTGTTAGTGGTGGTGGTGGTGGTGTTGGTGTTGGTTTGGTATCTTCATCACCTCTCTCTTCTCTACATTCACCTGAAGTCCCGTTTTCACTACTCTGCCTCGCCTCTTCTTTCAACTTGTTGCATTTCGCCTGTAGATCCTCGAGTTTGTGCAACAAGGCATCAGACATAAATCATCATCGGTGGTGGAGTCCAAATCTTCTTCTGGGGTCTTCTCATTGGTCCAGACAGTGTATGTCCATCTTCTCCTTCCTCTCAGTTTGTTGCATGATGCAGTCCAGTCGACCACAATCAGGAAGATCATGGGTGATAGTAGGCGGCAGCCTCATCTTACTCCTATCCCCTGTCTTCACTTCGAAGGCGTCATTGAGCTTTCCACTGTGAATCACTTTGCATGTGGCATCTTCGTATGGCGGTTGAATGATGTTAATAAGGATTTGTGGTATTCCATAGTGCTGAAGCATCTGCCTGAAAGACTACTTCTCGGTCAACGCTGTTAAAGGCCTTTTGATATTGATGAAGTTGAGTTTTAGTTGAATTGACTGCCATTCTGCGCTCTTTTCTTTGTTGCAGAATAATTTCGTTTACCAAATCTCTTGCGACGGTTGAGAGGTTAAGCGAGAAGGTCAAGGTAGTCGACCAGGATCAATAAGCAATCCGAGCAAATAAACGTAACTAGATCAGAATTGGTAGATCCTAGTAAGGTATGCAATCTAGACAAAAGCTTAGCCATAGCTAAGCAAGCATCGCCGAGTTTGCTTCCAGATTGCTAATCTTACTAGTATCTACCAGTTTCGATCTACCCATGTTTTTTTGCTTGTATAACCTAATTGATTATCGTTGACTATTTTCACCAATCTATTTGATCTATCAAGTGTTGCAAGGAGTTTGGTAAGCTAAACTATTCTGCTCAATTCTAAGTGGATTTGTAGGTTTAGTTGCCAGCCCCTCTAATCTCACCCAGCCTTATCGAGAATCTTACGTAATGTCTCTAAGGTGCTTTCCTTGTATAGTAATACGAACTTCCTTCTTAATTCTGTTAGATTGCTTCTAAACTGAAAACTAAAATCATGGATGAAAAAAAGACTTTTGTTAAGGTTCAACTTACATACTGATCCGTTTCACTCCATGTGTATACCAAACCATCTCCTCTAAGTTGACTGAATTTCAGATCGAAAGCTGAAGTGTCATTTAGATGACTAATATCCGTAGAGTATAGAACGAATCCTTGGTACTAGAATCCAGGAGAATAAAAGACAGAGATAAACAGAATATAACTGACATATACACCATTATGAGACTGAAATTAAGCGATTCATGAAGGCAATATGAATACCAATGATGGAATCTTAAGTCTAATAAAGTGTTGACTACTAGGTATGGCAAGAGGATGGAGTTCATTACAGCGGATCGATTGGGAGTAGGCAGTCCTGTATATTGAGTTAATTTGAACAGGTATTGTAAAGTGTACGTCACAAGGCCTGACAGTCATGGCTTCAATCCTTCCCGATATCTCCGGTGTGCACTTTTGAGGAATCCTATACTAACATGAAACAAATGCTCGGTGCTTGAAAATTCTCAGAAGTCAACAGGCTGATAGCAGTCTGTAATTGATACCACCTTATGGTCAATCCAGTGGCACAAACCTCCAACTCAATTAGATATTTTATCTAAAATGTTGTAGAGATGCGGTTCAAACGGATATTTATTTTCTACTTATCCATTTACACAATCAACGGTATGTAGGTAGGTTAGTGGGAAGGTAGGTAGGTAGGTAGGTAGGTGGGTAGGTAGGTGTGGGGTGGTAGGTAGGTAGGTAGGTGTGGGGTGGTAGGTAGGTAGGTAGGTAGGTAGGTAGGTGTGGGGTGGTAGGTAGGTAGGTGTGGGGTGGTAGGTAGGTAGGTAGGTAGGTAGGTGTAGGGTGGTAGGTAGGTAGGTAGGTGTAGGGTGGTAGGTAGGTAGGTAGGTAGGTAGGTGTGGGGTGGTAGGTAGGTAGGTAGGTAGGTAGGTAGGTAGGTAGGTAGGTAGGTAGGTAGGTAGGTAGGTAGGTAGGTAGGTAGGTAGGTAGGTAGGTAGGTAGGAAAGTCGGACTGAGGCAACACCTGATCCAGTGATTTGTGAACGTTTGCTGATAACAAAGGTAAGAAATGAGAGATGATTGAACTACAATTATTATTACTTCGATATGATGATTAGAGGAAACTTATGTTCGAGTCATTATCCGATAAATAATGTTAAACCACTGTTTACTGTATCAATTAAACAAATCCAATAGATAACCGTTTCGATCATGTGTACAGCAGGCCACATTTTCGACTGCATTCATCTACAACATAACTGGAGTTATCCTAGTATGGGATTCCTCAACTGTATGCACCCACGACTCCATCGAGGATCAAACCAAGGACCTTCAGGTTTCACGATGACTACATCACCACTGTCACTGAGTTTGAATCTGATAGTCCATATTTTCCAACTCATTCCATTTCATAACGTAGTACGACCTTCACTCAATAACATCGTTGAGTATTTGTCCTCACATATGACTTGGTTTGCTCCACCAGTCATGACTGGGGTGTCTGTCAATCAGCATACTGACAAGGTTCAAGAACTCAGAATCCTGACACCTCTCCCTTAGTCTTTTCTGCACTTATTAGATATTAAATGCCATATATACTTCTTGCTTGGTAGACGTTCAATATCATGCTAGATGTCATCACCTTACTCGAAATCACCTCCTTCATAAACTGTTGAATTCGAAGTCTACAACTTTACTACCCTTCGTGATAGAAATTAAGAAAAAGATACAAGAAGAGGAATTCATAATTAGAGTGAAAGGAAACTTGTAAACTAATTGCCATTTGTTTTTAAAAAAACGGTCTAGCTAACAAATTTTGCCATCCCTGAGCGACTGCCAAAAGACCTTGAACCCACCAATAAGAAAACGGTCGTTTCTTTTTGGTTCTTAATGTAGACATGAAAGGAAATTACAGGACATAGGGTTTTCTTACGATATTGATTAGCTCATATTCCTCGATGTGACTAGAAAATAGTAAACCACTTGGGTTGTATTGTGGATACACAATTATATACATAAGCCAGTGTAAGGAGATTACGTAAATAGGTTGCATGATAAACAAGCAAAACATTGTGAAATGAGCTAAGTTGAAAACATCCTATATGAAGAAAAGATGCTGCAACTACATATAAGTGAAGGAATAAGCATCCCCGACTGATAAAGGATGATTTAATCAACTAACAGTGAAGAATAAATTGCCAAGGTAGACGGAGGTTGACTGCAGCTTCCTTTTGAACATTCTTACATAGTCAACCTCTGTCCATCTTGGCAATCCATTCTTCACTGTTATCTGATTACATCATCCTTTATCATCTTTAGACGCTTATCCCTTTACTCGTATTTAGTGGTATCATCTCTTGTTCATATCGAATGTTTTCAACTAGCTGAACTTCATTCAAAATGTTGCCTTGACATGTGTGAACAATACAAGAACAAAGATATTTGCAGAAATAACATGAGGTCATCGTATTTCACAGGCTTTCATCAGTTGGATATGAGTGTAAGACGGAGATGTGATAGTACAGTTGAGAAAACCATGCAAACAAAGACACATAGACTGTTCAGTACCTTCATTGCAATAGTTCCTGTTCTGTTGGCTATAAATAGGGTTTAGTCATGACACTGTTTACTAGGATAAAGAATGCTATGCTCAAAAGGCAAACAAGAAGAAGAATTCGGTGTGATTGAGATGGCTTGTATAGAGGATGGATATCCGAGGAAATTCATCACGAAGCATGGAAAGGGTTTATTGAAACACTGAAACACTCAACTGTTGTAAAGAAATCTGTTTTCCTTCCTACAAGATTCAAGGGTGATAAGACCTCTGAAAGAATAGACAGAAGAATAGGAGTTGCACAGAGAAGGAGCTTCCCTGCTGCCAGACATTACAATACAGTGTGTTCAGTAACACAATCAGAAGTAGATAAACACTTAGCTCATGTCATCTCCAACTGTGTATATCAATTCACCTATACTTGTGGAAGCAAGTACATAGGAACGATCAAAAGAAAGGGATTTTACATGATTTTATGAGGATATTCTGAGAAATGTGTGTCTGAATGGTAGCTAGATCTTTACCAGTGCAATCACGAGTCATCTGATGGGAACAGGACATCAGATGGATACTTCTCAGTCCTTTAGGACAATCAGCAAACAAAGAACCTCATGTTTATTCAGGTTTGCAGAAGCTGTCACCATCAAACATTATCAAACTGGCCTATGTACTCAGAAAGAGACTGTAATTAACCTTTCTTTAGCTTGGTAACTATATAATTTTCTGCATGTATGTGCATATAGTCTTCCGTTCTTTTATGATTGTGTTAATCACTCATGCAAGTGGTTTTTCAGTTTTTACATGTAAGGATCCCTGTTTGTTTGTAGTCACTTACAACCCGTTTTCACATCTTCAGAATTTTCTATCTCATTGGATCTGTATAAATTGCCGCTGATTTTGACTAAGATTTGTAATTATTAAGGCTCCACTTGCTCGACTCACTCACCACCTTATTGTTAATCCTGGATTTCAAGTCTTTATTCATTTATTTCTGTATATTTGAAGTATGTTATGTCATTATTAGTAATTACAATAGTAATAGTCATAACCGCTTAAATTCCAAAGAACCATATATGATACAATAAGAAATTTTCAGCTATAACATTAAAAAAAATGTTTACTCTCTGTGCAGTGTCTTCAAGAGGAGTAATTATTGCATCTGAATACTGTTAATGACAATAATAGTAAGGTACTAGTATGAAATGGTCAGCTGTTATTATATTAACGTCTGGTCTGGGCTCAGGGATGAAAATAAAACTGAGTGTAATTTTGATGGTGGCAATTCACTAGCCAGTACAAACATCTGTTATTCCATATAGGTATCTTCTAGGAATAGTTATTTGCTGCATTTTAGAGCATGTCCATCTAGAATCACTTTTTTCCTTTCATTTGTTCCTAGTTTGAGAAACAACAGTTAGAAAACATCTTTAAAATGTAGTACCCTACGGAATACCACAAATATTTATCAACATCATTCAACGCCATACGAAGATACCACATGCAAAGTGATCCACACTGGAAAGCTCAATGACGCCTTCGAAGTGAAGACAGGGGATAGGAGTAAGATAAGGCTACCGCCTACTATCAACCATGATCTTCCTGATTGTGGTCGACTGGACTGGATCATGCAACAAACTGAGAGGAAGGAGAAGATGGACATACACTGGTTGGACCAATGAGAAGACCCCAGAAGAAGGTTTGGACTCCACCACCGATGATGATTGATGTCTGATGCCTTGTTGCACAAACTCGAGGATCTACAGGCGAAATGCAACGAGTTGACAGAAGAGGCGAGGCAGGGTAGTGAAAACGGGACTTCAGGTGAATGTAGAGAAGACAGAGGTGATGAAGATACCGAACCAATACCAACACCACCACCACCACCACTAACAACAACAAGAAGCTCCAATCACCATCAGTGGGAGAAACTGAAAGGAAGTAGTCTCTTTCACCTAGTTAGACAAGACAGCATCGTTTCAAGCACAGGTGGCACCGATGGTGACGTGAGAGCAGCCAGAATCGGGAAAGCAAGATAGGTCTTCATTAATCCGAAATCAGTGTGGAGACCTATTCCACTCAACTCCACTCCACTCCACTCAGCACAAATCGTGAACAGGATCCGGATTTTCAACACCAATTTCAAGTCAGTGATTCTATGTGATAGTTGAGAGACTTGGTGTGTCATGAGAAGCATTTCCAACAAACTACAGACATTCATCAACAGCTGCCGTCTACGCCCCCTCAACACTGAAGATCAGATAGCCAGAATAATAAGAATAAGCAAGGAGGAACTCTGTCTGTCTGAGAACGAACCGAAGGAGCAAGAACCTATCACGCAACAAATATGCAGTAGAAGGAAGTGGAGATGGATTGGACATATACACTTGGGAATCTATTTGGCGATACCATGCACCAGGCGTATGCCGTCGAGATGGATCCGAAGGGGGAACGATGAGTTGGGCTTCCGTGTCGAGAGTGAAATGGAGGAGATCATGTGAGGAAGAAATGAGAGGTTGTGGGCAGTCGTGGTGCCAGGTTGAAAAGAGTGGCGAGAAGAGAGTGGAATGGAGACGTGTTAATGAAGCCCTATGTTCGACTAGGAACCCAAGGGATAAATAATATAATATTAATATGTATAGTGTATGTTACGCTGAGATGTATTTGAAAGATTATAACAAACTGAAAGGGAATAATTAAAGGAAATAAATTTGGTAGAAAAGTTTTGATAGCCAAAGTTTTAGGCAGGCTACCACTACTAATACTTCATTTTAATTGTTGGGTGTTTGCAGTGAAGAAGCGATTGCCAAGATAGATAAATTTTGACTATAGGCTCTTTTGGAATACATGAATGATGTTGAGACGCTTAGTGGTCATAGCTTCTGTGAAAAAGGTCTCGTTTATTTATTTATCATCTTGAAAGAAACTGAAGACATCTGTTTGATGTCCAGTGTCACTCAGATCCTGACTGATTGCACAGTTTAAAGTGTTACTTCCCTTTTAGTAGTAGGCTTATCGGATTGATATTCCATTTCTTCTCAATGTTCACTTCGAGTGTTGAATGTATATATTTCATTATTCTAGGGGTTGTAAGTAGTTGACGAGATACCATCGAACTAAAAATATCGATCAATTTTCTCCTACCTCTCCATTATTGTTCTTGCTCTTCCAAATCCATAAAGGGAAATTCATCTATGAAACAATCCTAAATTATTTGTGTAAATCTCTGATAGACAGTCTGTCAGGTTGTTGTGTGATACTTCATGCAAAAAGCAGCTCCCGTCCCTCCCTCTGGTAGTCTAGTGGTTAACGCTTTGGGGTTTGAAGCGACGGGCACTAGGTTCGAATGCTAGTGGGAACAACACCACTCACTAAGGGAGGGGGTGTATCCGTCTAATGAGTTCAAAATGGGATGAAACTCAATTTCCAGATTCCCAGTGCTAGTCACCAAGATGAATCTATCAGATTGATGATATTGAATATCAGGAATTATCATCATCTAATTTCTTCAGAAGCATTTCTGTTATCAACAATATCCTTTCAATAATTCAAGGCTTCCAAGAACGACTGCACATCCACCTTCAACTCAATTGACTATTCACTAAAGGACAGTGAAATTCTACAGTTACACCAACAGCAGAAAACAAACCATAAATTCATTCATTAAAAAAAAAAACTCTGACAACTGATAAGATTGTTTGAGAAACTTCTTTCTCAAGAGAAAAAACAACACATTTTAGTGGTACTTACTTGACCCAAATATTCCATGTTAAAAGGTCTGTCGGATGTGACAGCATCAGTTTCCAATGTTAGTAAGTGTTTTGCCTAGAAATTAAATTCATAAACGTGTACCATCTTCAGCCATTGAAAACAAATGATCACATAAAAGGGATCATCATATTCAACGTGACTATGCTTTATTTTATATGCAGACTGGTAAATAAAGCCTGGGTATGTTGATGTTCACAGAAAGTGAACAAAAACATATAATGTAACATCGTTAAGTGTTTCCAATGATTAGTGAAACAATGAAGATATCAAAGACCAAATAAGTTTTCTCTGGCATGTACGTTTGATGTAAAATTCAGCTTTAATAACCCTTTCTACCACCAGATAGAAACACGGGGTGGTAATGAGGTTACTATTGGGTCCACTGTTGCGATCAAACTGGAAACAACCATGTTTAATGCAGTTAGTCATCAGGCAGTTTAAATTCTATGGAGGATATATTGGTCAGTGACACATTCATTGTTTTTGACAAGAACTGTCTTTCAGGAATTACTTCAGTCTTGTCAATGAATGTCACTCTAAGATCGAATTTACAATAGAGATAGAATCGTACTCGGAAATACCATTTCTTGACATATTGTATCAACAAGAAGAGATGATGAGACGTTTCAAAGATTCATTTGTCGAATGATTGAATGACCAGCTTTCATAGCTAGGTTTTCATCACCATAAAAAGAAATCCAATCCATTCCGTTTCCTCTTGAAACCGGGAGATTTGTACTGCCGACATTTCAGAAGACGAAATCCAACTTCCAGTATCCACTTTCATAGGAAATATATAACCAAGGAGATGAAGATGCAGCAAATGAGGTAATTAGACGCGAAATAATGAAGGATGTCAAAAAAATATTCTGTGTAGCCAGTTCGTTCACTGGTGAACACATTGTCGACGCCAGCCGCTTCACTTTGAGTATATCAGTTTACCCACTCTTGGGGAGCTAGGTACATAGACCGTACTCAAAGGTACATTGTTCAACATCGACGCTAACACCTGACAACATAGTTCAGTAAAGGTCAGTCTCTATCGGAACATTTGATTGACAGTGGATACACCATTTCGTTTTCACTAGTCTACAAAGTACAACGTTATCTCTCAAATGGTATGAAGAAACGTTTACTTAGCATTCTTGAAGCTTTGGCAATGTTACAACAGAAACCAGAATTCCTTATCCTGAAGTGACTTAATCACACCCAGTCCTTATTAATTCTTAATTCCTAAACTTTCCAGTTCGTATCTCTCATACAATTTTATTCTTGCATATATTGATATTGTATGATGATTGGAAGTGAAATGGAAATTTGGACCGTGGTGGGATTCGAACCAGTAACCAGCGGGTTATTGGCCCGATGCTTTACCAACTGAGCTATGAGGCCCAACAGCTTCTGATAATGAATAATATAGAAAACCGAAGCCAAATTTGTTCACTGAGCTAAAGTTTTTATTTATTTATAACATGGTGAGAAGAGGTAACTTCAAAATATGTCACCCTACTAGTAACTTATCAGTGAGCGGGCTACAAAGTCGAGCCTCAGCCACAGTTTCAGGTTTGTTTCAACCACTAAACATTCAAATGATATACACTAAGGGGTTATAACACTTTGGTGCCGTAGTTCACCCAGTAAACTAACCAACTAGTAATCCAAAGACAGTTGATTTCACTCTGACATTTGTGCATCAAAGAAGGTTTCATTTGAACGGTACTGAAAGGTTTCTGATACATATGGAAAATGTTTTTCAGCTTCCTCGTGGTAAACATTGTTGCTCATTTTATTCCTCTAGATTAATTTTGACAGACTAAACTCACTTGGTTAACACAAACACCTGAAGGAACAATGATCACTTAGATTTCACTTTCCGTATTCAGTAAACATATTTCATCAAGATGAAAAGCAAGACAATATCGAGGTATCCGTTTAGGCAGTTGGCATATCAATGATTTGGGAACAGCATGATTAAAAGAACACCAGCAAACAATACCCCTTTCAGAAGAGATGGAGCTGTTTTTAAGTGAGCAACCTGGTGGATAACGTTCTTGTATTTGAGGTGATTAGTACTGAACTGGAGTCCCACTAGGAACATAAGCACGGATAGGAGTAGATCCATTTAACTAGTCTTCAATGTAACAAAGTGTACTTCTTGAATTTCACTGTCAACGGTCAACATACAGTGCAACATTTTTCATGGATGCGCACTTCTGAGGAGTCCCATGCTAGGACGAAACAGCCGTCTAGTGCTCCCAGATTTTCAATGTTTCTCCAACCGAGGTCGGTTCATGATGAATGTCAACCTGGAATCAATAAAATCCCTATAGGCCATTAAATCAAATTTTTCAGGTAGTGATCACACTACTTATGAGTAACTAATGTTTTATGTGTGCAGATTGTTCCTTCCTCTGATTGGCTGTCTTTGGTTCGTGAACAATTACTGTTCTGTGATTGGTCAGAGTTGTGGATTGACTTTCAGCCATCTTGAACTTGGCATTTTTTAACATGTTTGGTGTTAATTAACCTCGAATGTATGTGAATTTATGCAGTAATTTTAATTTCATTTGGAGGAATCTTACAGAGAAAAACCAACAACATGAAGCATGAACAAACACTACAGCTTAGGCATAATGAAATAATGCGATGGCTGATGTAGAAAATACGTACAAGTGCCGTAACTAGATAACACAGGAAGCTGCCGTGTCCGACTTTTAAAAATACTCAGTTTTTAACAGGAAATGAGAATGTATACCAACATGGAGTCACACTGCGCACTCCTGGGTTCTTATTTCGGAGAAACAATCTCATTTTGTTTTTCAATGATAAATTATAGGTAGTTTAGACAAACTAACTCCTTCGTATTAATGATGGATAGTGGGTAGTGATGGGATCCAGGAGGCACGTTTCGTCCTATTTAGAGCTCGTCAACTTAGTGTACCTGCCTCCCAGTGAGACTCGAACACAGTACGCATTACTTCAAACGCCAGAAGCCGATCGATTTTGTTCGATCAGTGATGGGAAGTCGCAAGCATCAATATAGACTGACACCTTGACTAGAGAGAAACGATGATTACAGGTTGGAATAGTTCATGCTGAGATGTAGTTTAATGATTCCGAGGTAGTATTTTCAGACAATTTCTATCATAGTTATTTGAAAAGCTTTCGTAAACGGTTTGCTTGAGACTTTGTTCATCACAGCTGGGAAAACCTCTTGTCAACTGTAGTCACATCATGATGTGGTTTTCAGTTGGGTCAGTTCATTTGATCGGTAGACTCCGGGCCGGTTGCCTAAAACTATGCCTTCAGTCGTGTTTTGTTCCACGTTAAGTCTTCATCTATTTACATGCATTGAAATAAACCGGTATCTGAGTTACTCATGAACTTCAACCTACAGTTGATTAACCAGTACCCTCGAAAACACTTAGGTAAACTGGCATATAATTTCAAGGCGTAGTTGTTGTGTACACCACTAAAACTTATGACGTAATGTTAACTTGACATCCATTTAATCAATTTGGGATCAACGTCGTTAGAAAGATGCTGGAACGAGTTTAGCTCAAACAGCTGGATTGTTAGGAGCCGAAAAGTGGAAAGTGCGAGTCTCAGATAAGTGTCATTAGTCATGTATTATCCAATTTATTTCAAAAGTCGTTTGACCTATGACTTATTTGATACAAATAATGAATAGCTTGGTTTAAGGGCTTTTGACTAACTACTCACTCGTTTCTGTATCTCGAAAATAAATGCATGTTGAGTGAACCTTATTATTGCACATTATCTTATATTTCATGCTTGAAATCAGTCAGTTGTGCAGATGAATCAGACCGCCTGGAATACATATGGATAATAAGCACTGGATTTTGTGTTGCGTGACGGTAGACGGAACGAGTATGCTAGACCAATCACGTACAAGGTCAGTGTTGAAACTGAGTCAGTAGAATCTAGGGTATCAGACAATCACACTCAGACAAATTTGTAACAAGTTGAAAACTAGATAAACTCAGAAATATAACACAGGTCAATAACTTGCACAATAAGCATTACAACAGAGGATTGTAAAATCCGCAGTCTGTTTTGTAAACGATGCCAAGACGTAAATACTAAGTAATATTTCTCAGTATTGTATCTTGTTGATACCAAAAATATTGCACTATCCGCCCTTAAAGACAAGATATTGCTCACAGTGGCATCAATAGATATGCACGAGATTGCTGAATTGTATTCAGTTGCCACACTGTCAAATTATTGATTAGTGAAGGAGTTTTACTGCAACTTTTGCTACTACCCTTTGGCACTGACAATGAATAGCAAACTGTTAACGAGAGAATGCGTAAATTTGACTTACTTCCAACAGTTGAAGCTTTTCACAAGACAAATTGTTATATTCCTCACGGTAGACATGATCGCGGTGTATACTCACAGTCTAAAAAAAAGTATTGACAATAGATGATGAATTAGTGTACTATGAAGAGAATTGAAGTTGATGGCCTACAGGGACAGAGGTAATTCGTTAACAGTTTATATTGTCCACTAGCCGCTTACTGAGTTATGATATCCCACTTATGCATGATGGATAGCAGTTTTGAGCAATGTACTCGGTTCTCTTGACAGATTTAAATTATATCAGATTGATTTTACAGATATTCATCAACTGCTAACAGCTGAAAATTACAGTAGCCGTTAGGACACACTTAGGTAATCACACACTTTACAGTATGTTAGCACATAAGGTAATTTTAAATTAGGGTTTCCAAAACATTGAACAACCAGAAAAGTTATCCGTCATAATCACCGCCAATTTATACAGATCTCTGGTGCAGTCGCGGATGCGTAATGCTGAGGATTTCCATACAAGGACAAAACGGCTGCTGTGTAGTGCTGCCAGGTTTCCAGTAGTTCTCCAGCTGATGTTGATTGACTATGAATGGCTACTTGTTACCTTAACATCTACCTTTATCCCATACCAACTGAAAACAATCAAACGTAACCACCTCCCATTAGACTTCTATGCTGATTTTCATATTTTATACTGTACTGAAGGCTCAGTGTTAATTTCTGTTATACATATAATTGATAAGCCTGAAGCTTTTGAGTTCAGTCTAAAGAAGAGTCAAATGTGTATGCTGTTAGAGAATTCAAGGAAAGAAAACAACCAAACCTCTTTGTTCATATGTGTAAAACTTGGCCACTGTGGTAGAATATAGTTCCATATTAGATTTGTTTATTTGATTCATAACACACACTGATACAGTAGTATTTACTGGATGACGTTTCAAGCATAAATTATTACTGCTCATAATCATACTCCTTTAGAAATATATAATTTGTATAGTCATTTCACCTCATATTCCTTGTTTCTATCTCTAGTGTAGGTGTGTTGAGTCATTTCTATTCCACATATGTTGGGTGTTGGCTGATTCGATGAAGAAAGATTCAGTAATCAATCTCTCTCTTTCTGTCTTCACCTAACTATATTGAACTTAAGCGATACAGTGGTTTTATCCCATCCACCCTACTATGTGGTTGTGTATCACTATACATGTATTGCAATGGTTGATCTGAGTTATTTTCTAGATTATTGATCTTACTGAGGTCTGTCATTCTACAGTTAGATGAATTCCGATAATCTAACTGACTTCAGTTGGGTAGTTTGACCTATGTACTTGACCTAACAGTCATTGCATGGGTCTGTTGGGTGCTTAATTCGATAAAGTTTATTTTGAATGAGATTTTAGGTTTAAATGCCACCCTATTTCAAGCTTTGTTGACAATCCTGATGTTACTTCCTTATATGATAACACAATAGAAACTTTCAAATCCCTTCTACTTACGTTGTCGTTATTATTCATATTCGTTCAGTTGCTCACTCTATTAACACGTTTCACGTACATTAAAAAGATTCCACATTAACCTAGTGTTTTCTAAGAAAGATACGATCTTAGAGGGTATAGTTAGTGAACAAAGTATGTGTAGTGTGGACTGAGAGTAAGTACTGTAGTGTAACACCAATGAAGTCCTACAGTTTTAAATAAAGTGTATTAAAGATTAAACTAATCATTTGTATGTGGGAAAAACTAATTTCTACATGAATATCGTCGTGATTATATATATCATCAAGTCCTCAAAACTGGAAAGTAATTTCGATCACCACTCGATCTCATTTGACTAGATACTTCGTTCCTGTCATATCGTCATCACTTTCACTCCGATTTTTGTATTTTTCAGCAGGGTCTTATTGTTCCTCTTTATATGTCCTTCATTAAGATCGAATAAGAGAGAGCATCTTTTTCCGATGAAAAAGTCCACCATTTCATGTTGCTAGACAACAAATTATTTCATTACGAGATAAAATGAGGTTTGATTAATTTCATAGGAAAATGGAAATGACAAACTTCAAAAATGCAGTGAATTTATAGTTCAGTCTAACAACTGCCAAGGTAACCAATTAAGTCTCTGTATTCCATCAAAAAGCTACCTTCTCGTTCAAAATACCGAAACCTGTTTGGTTATTTCATCAATTGCTGACATGGCCTTTCAAAGTGATTCCAAAACCTAAGGTCATTCACCATTGGTTAGATGATAAGCTATCATTCGTGATGATTAAAGGACCAATCAAACTGCACTTCGTTTCAATCACGTCTGCAGCTAGACTGACAGACGATTGATTAGTCAATCAATATTATTATTTTAAACGCTGGACGATGAACTTATTTAGGTACGTTCTCTTTTACATTTTGAGGTTAATGTGGATAGTAATATTAAGGTAGTATTCATCACAAGCTGTCATTATTTAGAGAACCACTAAAAACCATAAGAACTTAACAGCCGTTTCGCCCTAGCTAGGGATCGAACTCGGGACCTTCAGGTATCATGGCGAACACGTCAACCATTCAGCCACTGGATCGGAGTTCACTGGTTCACAGTTTCATTAATGAAATGCTTCCAGATGGATATCTCAATGTTTTAATGAGAACCCTCCAACCAATCAGACGTGAAGTGGATGCCAACTGAAAACCTTGGTGGGTAGTCGCGATATATCGCGAACTGACAGAAATGGGAAACTTGGGACCACTGAACTCCGTCGATTTCAGTGTCTGAATGATTAACACGTTCGCCATGAAACCTGAGGGTACTGAGTTCGATGCCTAGCCGGGCAGTGGGTGTGTACTGTTGAGTTCCCTCACTAGGACAAAAACCTGGCCAGTGCCCTCAGATTTTCAATGGTTCTCCGATTAATGTCAGTGTAGGTACTTAATATCATCTTGAAGTAAATCATACCCCAGATACCTTGAAATTGAATAAACGGAATGAGTTTATGGATACATAACTTATAGTATGTACTTATGAAAATAGACTACTCACTTGAGCTAGAAATCCAGAAATTGCCTCATAAACAGTTCGGTTTTCAGGGGGAATATCTGTGCTGCTTGTATCATTCCAATAATCCCAATTGATATGGTTAAATGTTATGCATCTAAGAAGGAAAGAAAAGTTTTTTGGTGGTATCACCAAAAAACTGACTGTTTGCTTAAACAGTCATGTTTCAAGTATTAAATTCAACAATATGAACTTCTCAATGCTAGTTATACTTCAGAAGTACTGGAATGAAAAAGTACCTGCCGCCAACAAGTCACTAATAAGTATTGATAGAAGGGAAAAGAATAATCCATAGTGTTGCTTTCTAATCACTATAACACTTAAGAAGCCAGGCGTAACTGAAGGACTCTTCATCTCGAATGCCGTGTGCTGCTACTATTTGCTTGAAGTGCCTGAGCCAAATTGCCTGGCAGGTTATTCTGTTGGACGTCACCTGCCTCCCCCCGCTTTCCACCACCTGTAAGTGATGACATCCACAGCTTGATAAAGTATCCATGAAGTTGAATGCATTCTCATATGCGAAACTTCGTGTAGGATTGATTCTCTGTCAGTTTGAGACTAAAGTTGTATATTGAAATTTATAATGTCAGTCAAAAAAAACATTTTCAGCTAACTGTCTCAGTTAAGTAGGACTCAACCTACGAAATATCCTACACTAAGTATGAAGTTAATTACATAGGTCAAACGAAGTAGAGACTTGAAGTCAGTCAGAACATCAGAATCTGACTACTGAAATGAATCCAGAATGATGAATCTCACCAAGATAAGTAAGCCACAAAAAGAAGTAAGGGTTTGGTGTGCATGCAATGACCCACAAAAAAGAAGATGAGGGCAGAGTATCAGCCCTACAACTCGAAACAATGTATAAGACATATGGAACATAAGTGATTGAATGTGAACTGCAGATGATACTAAAATTCTCTTGCCAATAAAATCAAAGCATGAATGATCAGTCAGTAAATCAATAATACTTTGTGGTCCTTTGTTGTATCGAATTCACACATCCACTGTGGAAATGATAAGTAGATAAATCATGCGTTTTCATCATAGCTGCCAAAAGTGGTCAACTTTACACTGTATGATTCATACATTTACATTCTGGGGTTGTATAGTGAAGAAAAAGTCATTTGACGTCAATGGAATTAAGTTTTATCAACTGATGCATCTGAACTCTTACAGGAGCTGTTGTTTTCTCAAAAATCTCATCCTGTCATCACAATTTTATCACTATAGCTTCGAATGTTATCGCTGACTTAGGAACGAATAAAACCGTAACAAACCTCCAAAACTTTATTACACTGTTCCTTAGTGAATTTATTTCATGATGAGATTTCCAAAAGTTCTGTTGAGAAAACGTGACCTGTGAGACAAAGCAAGTCGGACGTGAGGGTAGTAACTCAAGAAAAACCTGACAGCAGTAGGAAAATGTTGATCATTGGGTTTTAACGTAGTCACTCTATGGTAATGTACTCACCATAGGGTCTGATTGTTCTAGGCCCAACCCCTTAGGTGCGCACTGCTGAGAAGTCATGAAATAGAGTGAGACAACTGTCTGGTGTTCCAAATTCTCAATTGTACTCTAATTGATGTCGGTTCATGATGAATAACCCAATTTGAATTGTGCTACTTTGGAAAACACGACAGAGAACGAGAGAACGATTTAGTGATACACGTTACTGATGAGTCAATTTTGGATGTCTGAGGTCATTTGAAGAAGTTGCAACCGATTGCTCATTTCATTTATACCAGACTATTTCAAGGAAATTGATAGTAAATAACCAAATAAATTTTTTCGACACTTACAAATTTATGTTTATACGGTCGGATGAAATGTATAAGTTCGACAATGATTCTATGTTGGTATTATTCTCTAGATTTTCAACACAAAATGTATCCTCCTTGTAATCACACATCACTCTCACGGAAAAAATCTGTTTCGGTGAAGGAAAGACCAGAAAATGGCGGCAAGCATTAAAACTTTTTTAAGTGAGATAGTTCAGATATAAAATCTTAGGAAATTAACTTGGCGTAAACGAAAACATGATATACCAGTCAGTCAGTCAGTCAGTCAGTCAGTCAGTCAGTCAGTCAGTCAGTCAGTCAGTCAGTCAGTCAGTCAGTCAGTCAGTCAGTCAGTCAGTCAGTCAGTCAGTAGTAGTAGTTAGTCAGATAACATGAAACAAGATAAAATACATGGAAACAGAAATTATGGATTCGAAAATTATTGAAAACCGTGCGAAGATGAGAAGGAATAAGGTAAATAATAAAATGTTATAGGGGGTTACGGTGAAGATAAGGTCCTGATGATCTGCGCCACCTTGACTGATTGTGTGTTATGCCAGCCAAAGACTCAAACAATCGGTTTCCATTATCCCATATCTTCTAACCAGAAAGTCTACATTTATCTACATAGATCATATTAGCAATTAGAGACTTCAGCAGACTACTGTCATGTTTCAGTTTGGCCCCCTTTAATCATCTTCTGCATTATTCAGCATAATTTATCAGAAGGAAACTGTGAATAAGCGTGTGTAACATTTCGCATTCACTTCAGTTAGTGAAGGCTGACAATTACTCCAACTATCCTGCCTCTTTTGCTTTGTTACTTGGCTTTTCAGCTAGATGTACCTGTCTCCCAGTGAGCGATGTTGTTCTCACTAGGACTGGAACTCAGTGCCGATTGCTTCAAATGCCAGAGCGTTATCCATCAGATCACCGACTCGCGATAACTCCTTTTTGTGTGAAGGGTATCGTTTATATGTTGCTACTTGTATTATCCTGTCGTTGATTGGATCAAACTGACCAGTCTGTATTGGTAAATAGACTCTTGTGTAAATGCCTCGATATTGGCCATATGCCAACAGAAAGCGATTAATTTGGTTCAACTAACGTTGGGATAATACATGCAACAAAATAGAAAGTAGCTATTGTGACTCAGTGGCGTAGCGGTCAGTTTTAGTGGGAAAAACATCACTCACTGGAGTCCATGTACATCCAGCTAATGAGTCCCACAAAAGAAGAAACGAACGTCTTGTTAGTCACCATACATCATTACTATATAAAAGTATGATGATATGAGCATATTTTCGACTGGATAATTTGGCAGAAACCAAAGACAACAGCTACTTAAAATACTCTCATTTCGCTAAAGTTTCCTGTAAATATGTGTAAAGCTTGGCCACTGTGGTAGAATATAGTTCCATATTAGATTTGTTTATTTGATTCATAACACACACTGATACAGTAGTATTTACTGGATGACGTTTCAAGCATAAATTATTACTGCTCATAATCATACTCCTTTAGAAATATATAATTTGTATAGTCATTTCACCTCATATTCCTTGTTTCTATCTCTAGTGTAGGTGTGTTGAGTCATTTCTATTCCACATATGTTGGGTGTTGGCTGATTCGATGAAGAAAGATTCAGTAATCAATCTCTCTCTTTCTGTCTTCACCTAACTATATTGAACTTAAGCGATACAGTAGTTTTATCCCATCCACCCTACTATGTGGTTGTGTATCACTATACATGTATTGCAATGGTTGATCTGAGTTATTTTCTAGATTATTGATCTTACTGAGGTCTGTCATTTTATATTTAGGTAAATTTCTATGTTCCGCTATTCTAACTAAACCCCAACCAGCTAGTTTGACCTATGTACTTGATCTCGCAATCATTACATGAAATTTGGTAGATTAGATTATTTTGCTGAACTGGTTGTATCGGATCCTTAAGCCACCTGACAAAGCTTATCTCTGAGTGATTTTGTAGGTTTAAATGTCACCTTAATTTCAGCCTCGTTGAGGATCCTGCATAAAGTTTCTGATGTACCCTCTTTATGGGGTTACATAATGAAGGCTTCGAACTTATTTTTATTCGTGTGATCACTATTATTCGTGTTCATATTGCTGTTATCATTTTGCTTCTTATATTTTCCTATGAATTTCTTGCTAAGTTCAATGCAGTGACTATGAGGTCAAGTACATAGGTCAAACTAGCTGGTTGGGGTTTAGTTAGAATAGCGGAACATAGGAATATAGAAAAATATAGAATGATAGGCCCCAATAAGATGAATAATCTAGAAAAAGCACTCGCATAGAAAGACACAACCATATAGTAGGGTGGATGGGATAAAACTACTGTATCGCTTAAGTTCAATATAGTTAGGTGAAGACAGAAAGAGAGAGATTGATTACTGAATCTTTCTTCATCGAATCAGCCAACACCCAACACATGAAGGACAGGAATGATGCAACACCTATACTAGAGATATGAAAGATCTTACTACCAATAAAAACACGGAATATGAGATGGGTGACAGGATTATAAAAATCAGATGTCGAATACTATGTGATTACGTTGGTGTGATTTTAAGTAATACTATATAGTGTGAAATTTTGAGGGGGTTGTGGAGATTTGGAAATATTTCAAGTTGTATTCATCGAAGACTGACATCAGTTGGAGGAAGAAAGGAAACCTGGGAGCACTGGACAGCTGTTTCTCCTAGTATGGGACTCTCAGCAGTGCGCACCCACGACCCCACCAGCAGGATGAACCCGGACCTTCAGGTTCCGCGACCAGCGCGTTACCATTGAGCCACTGGGTCAAATCCAATGCTCCTATTTCCAACTTCTGTTAGCTCACGATATAGCGCAAACCGCACTAGGACGAAACAGCTGTCCAGTGCTCCCAGGTTTCCTTTCTTCCTCCAACTGATGTCAGTCTTCGATGAATAACAACTTGAAATATTTCCAAATCTCCACAACCCCCTCAAAATTTAATTGAACTAGTGCTCGTTGGTGACTAGCTTCGAGAAGTATTCCCGAAGTTCCAATGACAAGTCGTGACCGGTGGAGTCAAGCCTGATGGCCGTGAGGACAAATACTCAACGATGACATTGGGTGGCGGTTTGCGCTATATCGTGAGCTAACAGAAGTTGGAAATATGGAGCATTGGATTCTGACCCAGTGGCTCAATGGTAACGCGCTGGTCGCGGAACCTGAAGGTCGCGGGTTCGATCCCTGCTGGTGGGGTCGTGGGTGCGCACTGCTGAGGAGTCCCATACTAGGACGAAACAGCTGTCCAGTGCTCCCAGGTTTCCTTTCTTCCTCCAACTGATGTCAGTCTTCGATGAATAACAACTTGATATGTAGTGTGTGTTGGCTACATCAAATAAACAAATCTAATATGGAATTTTCTGTAAATATATAAATAAACGAGAATTTTGTGGATAATTGAACTTATGATCCACATGTTATCTAGCCACCTTAACTATTTCGAAGAAATCTAGCGTCTTTCTAAAGGTTATTATACAGACAATCATAGATACAACATAGTTGAAGTGACCTGAGAAAGTAGGAAAGTGTTATCTAACCAACTTGTTATTGAATAGATCACATAAGAGCAAGAGATATAGGAGTAGGATAAAAAAAATTTTGATAAATTTAAGTAAAGTCATAAAGAGATACAACTTACCCATGGTTTATTCGGTTGTATGTAATCAAGTTCATTGAATGCATGAGGTGAAAGTATAGTTTCTGTAGACAAAATAATGAAAGAAATACTAGAGCTAATCGGTCAGAATACTTTGAACCAAAGATTGACAATCTGTTATCATGTACTTGATATCAATAGAGAGGATATGACTCTTAGCAAAATCTATACCTTAACAATGTGTATCAGTAATCCTTTGAAGTAATCACATTGTATCATCAGCACACTCAATAAAAGATAAGTGATTTTGACAAAGTTTTTGTTTTGCAATTTTTTTTGTAAACTTTCAACTTTGTAGGCATAAAAAGAGTTTTGGATTGTCAAAATATATTTTCATATCTCTATCTATATGTGAACCTTGCCTGGTTAACTAGTTCACTAGTTACTAGCCGGTCCTAAGCCCGGGTAAAGAGGGAAGGTTGGGCATAGGGCTAGCAACCCTACCCGTAAAACAAATCTAACCGCTAAAGAAACTTCAAAGCACAAACAAAATATAAAAAATGAAAACAAACTTATTCCCCGCTGGAATCGGAGAGGCGAAATGACGCCAGTTGGTGAAAGCCTTCGGGAAGCCAATTGGCCGATGTGTCTTCTCTCCCTCGATGAAAGCGAAAGTAAACATGGGGACATGGAATGTCCGTACGATGTTTGAACCCAGTAAGGCAGCCCAGATTGCAAACGAGATGAGAAGGTATCACACTGAAGTGCTTGGAATTTGCGAAAGCAGATGGAATGGGAGTGGACTTTCCAAACTGTCAACTGGAGAGTCAATAATCTACTCCGAGTCACCCAGACGACAACCACGAGCACACTGAGTTAGGAGTGGCTATCATGATGTCCTCAAGAGCATCGAAGGCTCTCATGCAGTGGGAACCAATCTCCTCCAGGATCATGACAGCAAGATTCAACTCAAAAGGAAGGAAGGTCACAATCATACAATGCTATGCACCTACAAATAATGCAGAGCAAGAGAAAAAGGAGGAATTCTACAGACAACTTCAATCAACACTGGACAAGACGTCAGTTGGCGATATCAAAATTCTAATGGGTGGTGTGACATGAATGCCAAACTAGGAGGGGACAACACAGGAAGAGAACTAACCATGGGTCGAGAGGCGCTAGGTGAAATGAATGAGAATGGAGAATTGTTTGCAGAATTCTGCGCATTCAACGATTTGGTGATTGGAGGCAGTGTGTTCAGGCACAAAGATATCCACAAAGCGACATGGATTTCACCAGACACCAGGACACACTAAAAATCAAATCGACCTTATCTCAATCTCAAGAAAATGGAGACGCAGTCTACTTGACACAAGGTCAAGAAGAGGAGCAGATGTAGGTTCACACCACTATCTAGTGCAAGGAACCTTCCAAATCAAGTTAAAAGCCTTCAAGGAAGCTGGTGATAGACCTCAATTCAAGTACAACACTCGGAAACTGAAGGATGAAACTACAAAGGAGATCTTCAAGGCAGCCATCAAGACAAAATGGGAGATATCGAGGAACATCCCTGAAGAAACCTGTGTGGAAGAACACTGGAAGTCTTTGAAAGCTATGTGGAAAGAAACCTGCACAACAGTATTAGGAAGGAAGAAGAAAGAAGACAAGGAATGGATCTCGACGGATACATGGAAGCTGATAGAGGAGAGGAGGATGGTGAAACAGAAGATAAACCAGTGCAAGGATGCTCAACGACAAGAGGAACTGAGCACAATGTATAAAACACTGGACAAAGAAGTGAAGAAGAGTGCACGCAAAGACAAAAGACACTTCTACGAAACACTGGCAAGTGAAGCAGAACAGGCTGCAGGTAAGAGAGACCTGACGACATTGTATCAAATAACCAGGTTGCTATCAGGGAAGAGATCAACACAGATGAAACCAATAAAAGATGAAGAAGGAAATTTAATTACGAAAGAAGAGAAACAGAGGAAACAATGGGCCGACCACTTCAAAAAGCTCTTGAATCGACCACCACCACCACCTGCACTTCGTCCAGAAATACCACCTCCAGCCGCTGAACTACAAGTGAACATAAATCCTCCAACGAAAATGGAAGTCCTGAACGCCATAAAGCTACTGAAATGTGGGAAAGCAGCAGAACCAGATGGGATCCCGCCAGAAGCACTGAGAACAGACGCAGAGACAACAGCGGACATGCTCACACCACTATTGCAGAAGGTGTGGAAGGAAGAGAAGGTACCTGGCTAGTGATTGGAAGAAGGGTTACCTTGTCAAACTGCCGAAGAAGGGAGACCTCAGTGTTTGCAAGAACTGGCGTGGAATCACTCTCCTGTCCACCCACAGCAAGCAAAATATTAAGCCGCATCATCCTGGAGAGGCTTAAGGATGCACTGGATTCAAAACTACGACCGGAACAGGCAGGCTTCAGGAAGTACAAATCATGTGCAGACCAAATTGCAACGCTTCGCATCATCATAGAACAGAGCATAGAATGGCAATCAGCTCTCTACCTCAACTTCATCGACTTTGAGAAGGCCTTTGACAGCGTCGACCGAGAGGTAATTTGGAAACTGCTTCACTACTACGGAGTACCGCAAACCTTTATCCGCCTCATTCAACAACTATATGAAGATGCCACATGCCGGCCAAGTAATTCACAATGGGAAGCTCAGTGATGCTTTTGAAGTGAAGACAGGAGTGAAACAAGGTTGCCTACTATCCCCCATGATATTCCTGATTGTGGTCAATGGACTGGATCATGCAGCAAACAGTGGGGAGCGAGAAGAGGGGGATACGCTGGACGACGGAAAAGAACCTAGAAGACTTGGATTTCGCCGATGACTTGTGCCTGATGTCACATAAACTTGAAGATCTACAGGCAAAAACTAACAAGTTGACAGAAGAGGCAGCGAAGACGGGACTTCAGGTGAATATAGAGAAGACAGAGGTGATGAAGATACCGCACCACCACCATCAACAACAACAACAAACTCCAATCACTATCACCATCAACGGGAGAAACTTAAAGGAAGTAACCTCCTTCACCTATTTAGGAAGCACTGTTTCAACTACAGACAGGCACAGACGAGGATGTCAAAGTCAGAATCGGAAAAGCAAGACAGGCGTTCATTAGCCTGAAACCAGTGTGGAGATCTTCTGCACTCAGCATGCGGAACAAGATACGGATTTTCAACACCAACGTCAAGTCAGTGCTTCTGTATGGTTGAGAGACTTGGCGCGTCACGAAAGAGATTTCCAACAAACTACAGACATTCATCAACAACTGCTTACGCTCGCTACTGAAGATCAGATGGCCAGAAAGAATAAGCAACAAGGAACTCTGGGAACGAACCAATCAATAACCTATCGCTCAACAAATATGCAGGAGGAAGTGGAGATGGATTGGGCATGCACTGAGAAGGCCGACTGAGGACATCACGCGTCAGGCCCTCGAGTGGAATCCCCATGGGAAGCGACGAGTTGGACGTCCGAGGGTGACATGGAGGAGGTCGTGAGAGGAGGAAATGAGAGCTTCTGGGCTGTCGTGGAACCAGGTTCAAAAGATCTCAGAGAACAGAGGTCACTGGAGACGTGTTACTTAAGCCCTATGTTCCACTAGGAACCCAAGGGACTAATAATAATAATAATAATAATAATAATAATAATAATAATAATAATCTATAAGTGAATAAACTATTTGAAGGATTTGGAGATAATTAAAAGGAAGTTGAACAACTCAGTTTTGTTACGTTATTGGTTGTAATTTCTGTTTGTTTGATTGGACTGAATAATAATTCCATTCTAATGGGATTGAGTCCTGGATTTTAAACTGATTTGATTCATATTTTTCTGAGAGAGAAGACATTACACTCTATATGGAGAGGGGAACGCTCTACTTCGGTGCTTAGTAAAACAACTGTGCCTCAAGGTGGTGTTCTTTCTCCTTCCTTTTTCTCTTTCTTTCTGCATGACTTACAAGCCTGAACTAAAGCCAACTTTGTTTAGTAAGCAGATGACCTGACAGTATTCATACCGATCATCTCCTCTTCTGATTGTTCTCAGTTCAATAACTTTTTAAAGGAAATTGGTCACTGGCCTTCTTTAAATCGCCTCACACTCAATCCCTCTAAATCTCAGATGGTGAATTTTAGCTTAAGACGTCAAAAAGACCTTTGTACATTGCTTCAGTTCCATGACTCTGTTATCAAGAATGTTACAAGCGTGGTCCATCTTGGCTTATAATTTTCTTCTGATCTTTCTTGGTCCCTTATATCTTACTGAAAGAAGACTATACTGTATTGCTTAGGATTTTGATGGGTGTTAGTAGAGCAAGCGGTACACCACTAACCGTATTGATAAATGCCGTTGTAGATAAGCATGTGAACTCTTGTAGACGTCTATGAATAAGAATATTTCAGCTGATGAAAATCATCCTCTGAATCCACACCTTTCTCTATGCCTGTCCTCATGGAAGACAAGAATCAGATTTATAATTGGCTGCATGCATTCACAACCGCATACAAAAATTTAACTATACCACCTTATTTAGCTTATGTATTGTTAAACAGGTTTATTGTTAATGTTTGAAAAATATTGTACAATGGGTAAATTGATGTTATACTACACGCTGAGAATTCTTTACGATAAAAATAATTATGGTATGGAGTAATACTGTATGCGCTCCTACATGTGTGCGTCGATATAACCTGCAAGTTCAGTTAGATGGTTAGTACTGATTGATAGTGCATAGCGGATAACAATCTGACGTTTTGAAGCTATCTATCTTAAGTTTAAGTTCTAGTGAGAACAATATCGCCTACTGACAGGCAGGTATGTCCAGCTGAAAGTCTCAAATAGGGCGAAACACATTTCCTAGATTCCACTGCTAGCTATTATCCATAATTAATATCAAACTTAATTTCATGTTCATTTGTACTTCTCATCAGTTCTTACCTGAAATCATGCAACAGACTTTACTCTTTTTGAGAAGATATATATTACATCAAGTGAAACGACTGTCACAAATCATACTACTAAGTATTTAAATAACAATACAACTGCATATATCATATCAACAACT